GCACTTTATAGGTAAATAGGATTATGTTTTAAGAATGAACACATTTAGGTTTTGATTTAGATATCAATATGCTACAAAAAGTTGACCATATTCTTTAATATTACGTCTTGGCATGGTTTTGATTGGACTAATATAATTTCTGGCCTCATGAGTTTACTAATCTTGGGTGTCTTTTCTCGCTTTCTGGGTCGCAGAGTTTTGGAAACAAGTTCCTCCAAATGAGCCCTACCGTGTTGTTCTTGGTTATGTACGAGACAAGTTATACAATACACGTGAACGTGCTCGCCATTTATTAGCCAAAGGAATGTCTGAGATTCCCGAGGATACAACTTTCACTGATCTTGAGCAGGTTTTTCCTTGCACTAGTAGAATGACTTTTTAAGTGCTTAAAAAGAGTTTTTGAATATTAGAAGTACTTTTAAGCACCTCGAGAGTCTTTTCAAACTTACCCTAAAATAATCCTAGTGTTTTTACCCCTCCTGTTCAATGGATATTGTTCTCTTTGGCCTTTTTCTCAGTTTTTAAATCGCCTCTGCTAGAGAGAGGTTTCCAGACTCTTATAAGGAATGTTTTGTTCTCCTCTCCCACCGATGTGGGATCTCACACCCACATCGACTAATCAAGGGGTTATCATGGGTTTATAAGTAAGGAATGCATCTCCATTGGTACAAGGTATTTTGGGGAAACCAAAATCTAAGCCATGAGAGCTTATGCTCAAAATAGACTATCATATCATTGTAGAGGATCGTGGTTCCTAACAGTCCTGACATACTTTCTTTTTCCCTACAGTTTCTCGAGCCTCTCGAACTCTGCTACAGGTCGCTTTGCGCTTGTGGTGATAGGCCAATTGCAGATGGGAGCCTTCTTGATTTTTTACGGCAAGTTTCTACATTTGGGCTTTCACTTGTAAGACTGGATATCCGACAAGAATCAGACAGACACACTGATGTCATTGATGCTATCACTAATTACCTGGGCATTGGTTCATACAAAGAATGGTCAGAACTACAAAAGCAAGAATGGCTACTGTCTGAACTCAGAGGGAAACGCCCTCTTTTCGGTCCCGATCTTCCGAAGACGGAAGAAATTGCTGATGTTCTGGACACCTTCAATGTCATTGCAGAGCTTCCTTCAGATAACTTCGGTGCCTACATTATCTCAATGGCAACAGCACCATCTGATGTGCTTGCTGTTGAGCTTTTACAACGTGAATGTCATGTAAAGAAGCCATTGAGGGTTGTACCATTGTTTGAAAAACTTGGTGATCTCGAGGCTGCTCCTTCTGCAATGGCTCGTCTCTTTTCAATCGACTGGTACAGAAACCGCATCAATGGTAAGCAAGAAGTCATGATCGGGTACTCGGATTCAGGGAAGGATGCTGGCCGTCTCTCTGCTGCTTGGCATTTATACAAGGCCCAAGAAGAACTCATCAAAGTGGCAAAACAATATGGAGTTAAGCTCACAATGTTCCATGGCCGAGGAGGAACTGTTGGCAGAGGAGGCGGACCTACCCATCTTGCTATATTATCTCAGCCCCCGGATACAATTCACGGTTCACTACGAGTCACAGTTCAAGGTGAAGTTATTGAACAATCTTTTGGGGAGGAGCACTTATGCTTTAGAACACTTCAGCGTTTTACCGCTGCAACGCTCGAGCATGGCATGAATCCACCTGTTTCTCCGAAGCCCGAATGGCGTGCTCTCATGGATGCGATGGCAGTTGTTGCTACGGAGAAATATCGCTCCATAGTTTTCCAGGAACCCCGTTTTGTCGAATACTTCCGCCTTGTAAGTGTTCTTAGCCATATAATTGATTCACGGATTTATTGCCTTGTGTCCTCATTTCTTTAAATATGCAGGCAACCCCAGAGTTAGAATATGGTAGAATGAATATTGGAAGTCGTCCATCAAAGAGGAAGCCAAGTGGAGGAATTGAATCACTGCGTGCAATTCCATGGATCTTTGCTTGGACGCAGACAAGGTTTCATCTACCAGTCTGGCTTGGCTTTGGAGCAGCATTTAAATATGCCATTGAAAAGGATGTGAAGAATCTCCACATGCTGCAGGAGATGTACAGTCAATGGCCTTTCTTCAGAGTCACCATTGACTTGGTTGAAATGGTGTTTGCCAAAGGAGACCCTGGCATTGCTGCTCTGTACGACAAGCTTCTCGTGTCCGAAGATCTATGGTCGTTCGGCGACCGATTGAGGGCTTCCTACGAAGAAACTAAGCACCTTCTCCTTCAGGTAGCTAAACACAAGGATCTTCTTGAAGGTGACCCCTACTTGAGGCAGCGGCTTCGTCTCCGTGATTCTTACATAACTACCCTTAACGTCTGTCAAGCCTACACATTGAAGCGAATCCGTGATCCGAACTACAACGTGGAAGTTAGACCTCACCTGTCAAAGGATTACCACCTTGAATCAAGCAAATCTGCTGCAGAACTTGTGAAGCTCAATCCTAAGAGTGACTACGCCCCTGGTTTGGAGGACACCCTCATCTTAACGATGAAGGGTATTGCTGCTGGTATGCAGAACACCGGCTAAGGCGAGGCCATCCCCATGGTCGGTGCAACGTGGACGCCCGTTTTCCTTTGTAGACATCTGTATTGGCTGTGCTGCTGAGCTTTAAGGCCATCCTCTTTATAATAACTTGTGCAACAAGAACTTTCGGTTTTATAACTGTTAAAATGCATCAGAAGATCAGTCTTTTTTTTCCATCTGTTATGGGTTTCCACTCCTTTTCCATTAGTCCTTTCACAACGGTGATTGCGCCAATGATTCAAAGTCGATCCATATTTCATTCCAGCATGAAGCATGGGCTAAATAGCTCCAAAATCAACGAACGCGTGGAGTGAACATAAAACTACGAACCAAACCTGTTGCTATGGGTAGAGAGTCATGACTAGTTCAACATATGTCCAAATAATACTGAAGACTTTCCTTATATTTTAAGAATAGCAATGATCCTCAAATTTATAGTTGTATAAAAATTTAGAAAGGTTCTTCTATCATAAAATTCGATATCTAGTAACCATTTGTTCGAAGAGCTTAGAAAATCACTCTCTCATCAATCTCATATAAAAGAAATAAAAATTTTGTCATTTGTCATGTTATATTACATCTTATAACGATGAATTATAATAGTCAAATAATAGAAATGAAATTTTTTTAAGAAAAAAAAAAAAAAAGGTAACATGATCCACCAATGCCGCTGTGCCATGTGGATCCATTTGCCCATGTCAGTTCCATCTCCAACATATTATTGAATAATACAACAATGATCAAATAAATAATAATAATACACATTAAGTCAACCCATTATTCATAAAAATTAATAAATGATATATAAATAAAATAATTTAAATTTGTTTTCTTATTTTTCACTCTATTTGAAATAAACAGCCCATTAATTCTGTCACTAGAATAAAGTATTAAAAAAATAAAAAAAGTCGGTGCCTGGAATTTATAAATTATAAAATAAAAAGGACAGCTTTTTGTGCATACTAAATAAGCAACGTTACCTATATAAACTCAACCTTTGTTCAGCATCTCATACCAAATTTCCATTTCTTCAAATAAATATTTTACATTTTTTTAAAAATTTTATTTTCTCTCATTTTCCCCCAGAAAACAACCCAAATATGACGGTATGCAGCCTACCATCCCTCTTTTCTTATTTAATTTTAAATTTAAATTTAATTTTTTATTTTATTTTTCCTCTTAATTTCCTCAGACTTTGGAGCTCCGAGTCCATATGGATTGCCCCGGTTGCGAAAGCAAAGTCCGAAGCTCGCTCCAAAAATTAAAAGGTTAGAGGTTTATATTTATAAAAAAAAGAAAAAATAATATTATTTATTGAATATGAAATCACGAAATTTATAATAATTTTATAGGATTAATTATTTATTAAATGTTTCAGGTGTGGACAACGTTGAAATCGACATGTCGTTACAGAAAGTGACGGTTACCGGGTGGGCGGAGCAAAAGAAGGTTCTGAAAGCGGTTCGGAAAACCGGTCGTCGAGCGGAGCTGTGGCAGTTACCGTACAACCCGGAGCACGATAACGAGAGTGATCCGTACCCACAGCACCATTTAAATGGGCCCGTCCCAAATTTCTATGGGCCCCAGCCCACATCGACTTACAACTATTACAAACATGGGTACGATAATCATGACCAGGCCCATCATCAAAACTTCTCCACACATTCCAACATCTTCGGCCGCCAGACTGGCTCCGTGTTTAGTGACGACAATGTCAATAATTGCTCTGTTATGTAATCATTACTCTCTTAATCTCCTGCTTAAGGATCTAAAAATCCCCTTTGTTTGACAATAATAATAATAATATTGTACAATGTTGGGCCGGGTCTTAATGTTAAGTGGGCCCAGCATTTATGGAGTTGGGCCTTGATTGCAACCCATGACCAAGAAATATTCACCAGTTTTTTTCTTTAATTGTATACCCTTGAGATATATATATATATATATATATTTTATATAAATAGAATTTTAATTCTTTTAAAAATTATATATAATGAAAAAATATTAATTAAAATCAATTTATATTTTTATTTAAATTGTAGACTTTATCGACTTCAAGAAGTCAAGAATAATACACTTGAAGCAATTATTGGTGTGGGATAGAATTGAAATTTTAATAAATTACGAGGGTATTTCCGGAAATTATTTTTATTTATTTTCTAATAGTCAATAAATTTACTCTGCAAAATTTAAGACCGTCGATAGGCTGTTGGTGGACTGTGAAACGTGGCAATCGTTAATTGGTTGAAGGGAGGAAGGATTTTTCTTTTTGCTTATTAACAAAAAAATTATGATGGTATACGTGGCATGCGACTATTGGGGAGAATTTTCCGGGAATTATCTCTAATACGCGGCAAATTTGGATGTCAATTTTATTGAGACCGGAATCTTTTTGAACAGCGAAGAAGAACAAATATTTTGACATAATAATAATAATAAATAAATATATAATTAACAATAAGAGCAATTTCAAGGTTTTATTCTTCTGATATTGTTGGTTTCTTCGTTTCTGTGGGTCTGACTCGGTCTCTCTCTTTTCGAGCCAGAACCACCGAAAAACCCACACTGTATAGCAAACCCTAATTCTTTGGTCTCAGATCGGCCATGGCTTCCAGTAAAGAACGCGAGAACTTCGTTTACGTCGCTAAGCTCGCCGAGCAGGCCGAGCGTTATGATGGTTTGCGGCATCTTCTTATTTTCTTCCATTTCCGTTTGATTTGTTTACTTATGCTTTGTTATCTGTGTTTTACTTTTGACTACCTGCTCAGATCGCATTTCCTTGTGGTGGCGTGCTATGTTTGATTGTTCTTTCCTCTGTATTTATGCTTTTCGTGCATGGATTTGTGGCGCGATCGCTTGCCTTTGTGTGTAGTGTTTCCCGGGTTTTTGTAGATTGAAGTGTTGTTATGTTCCTTCGTTTACACGATCTGTGTGAAACATGAGGAGATTTCATTTGCCTAAAATTCTGCTAAATTTCTTTGATTTAGCTTCTCCAGCAGCATTTTTTTTCTTGATCTATTGCGTTCTGTCTGATCTGTTTGATTTAATAGAAAATACTCTTTTTTTTTTTTTTTTTTTTTTTTTTTTTTTTTTTCCTTTCTCTC